GCAAATTCAGATATAGTGAAGCGGTAGAAACCTATGCAAGCAAAAGTCCAGATAGTTTGAATAAATTTTTAATGGAACAATGCCAACAGTCTAATAAAGAATGAAGTAGATTGAGCCCAAGAGATAAAGGAAATGTCCATGACATTTTGATTGTAGCCTAGTGAGCCTATGCTAAAGATTTTAAAAACAATAGATGAGTCATCAGCTTGTGGGAATTTGTCCCTGCAGCAGTAGAGGACAGACATATTACATTTTCTCTGATGTTTTCACACTAAAACAATTCAGCTGTATAAAAAATAGCACATTTATTTTATGTAATTTCAAACTGCATATAAAATAAAATGGAAATTCAAGTTACTTCCTACTTACTTTCTTTGAATATTGGCTTGTTGTCATTAATATCTGACAGCTTAATTGATACAGTCGTTGTTCCAGACAGGGCTCCAGGCTGACCAAGCATGTCCTTGGCTTGAATAATTACACAGTATGTATCTTGCAACTCTCTATCCATTTTAGAAGATATTCTTATGACTCCTTTGAAGAATAAATAAGACAATCCCAGTTATTATTTCTCATAATCTTTTTCTAACTAACATCTTAAGCATCCCATGATGTAACACTCTTTTTTATATATGCTAGCTACTAACAAAGATCTGTAATAATAGTAAAATTGAACACAAATTTGATCAGGACTATTATCATATTACTAAATAAGACTATAAACTTAATGCAATAATATAGCAAGTATAATCTAAGTATTTCAGGAGGCCCATTTTTCCTGATTAAAGAATGAATGTCTGTCTTTTTATGTTTTCTCTATAACACAAAAGGCCAGGCCATTCATTACTTCACTTTGGCCCACACTCAAGTCATCATCCTTGGTTCAGCAAAATGTTCCTTTACAAAAAATCTAAAGTTACCCTCACTTTTTCTTTCTCATTTGAACCTTTATGTTCACTTGGAAATTCTTGACTGATTAAACATATATATTTATTTGATAGCCACATGTTTATTAGACAGTTCTAAGTTCCATGATACAAAAACTCATGTCTACAATTTTTTAATTGTTCTTATTATTTAATTTCATGGGGACAAACATTGAAAAATTCTATATGTAGTGTAAATGCCTACTATAAAGTCTGAATTTAACAAACAAGATTTTATGAAGGAGTTAAATCTTTATCTTTTAATATTAATGAAACAAATAAAAGAAAATTAAAAATTAAAAAAAAATCATGAAAGGAGAAGATTTGTTACTAGTGGAAGGGTAAACTAGTTTGACCACTGTCAAAATCAGGATGGTTTTCTGGAGAATCTGAGAATCAATCAATCTCTATACTGCTCTAGAACATATGTACTCAAAAGTCCTTACAACAGAGATACTTCCTTATCCATGTTTACTGCTGCTCTAGTCATAATTATCAGAAATTAGAAACATCATTCTTTGACTGATACATAATGAAAATGTGGCATATTTATATAATGCAATAGTATTTAGCTCTTTGTAGCTAAATAATGGGTCTGGGGAAAAAAGTTCTAGGTGAAGTAATCCAGACCCAAAAATACAAATATCATATGTTATCTATTATTATGGATGTTAAATTTTAAGCTTTCAATGTGAACATTACATTAAAAATAACCACAAAGTTTAGGTACCTAGTAAAATGAAATTGTGGAAGAGAGGATCTCTCCAGGAAGGAGCAATTATATGCAATATTGTGGAGATATGAATGAAAAACTAGAACAGATTGAATAAGAAGATAATGAGAGAGAATAATAAAGGGGAACATATAGGAAGTTATAACTAAGACCAAACATCATTTGAAAGCCACGCAGAATGTTACCATCCTAGAAGCATTCTAAAACATATACAGAGATCAAAAGAATCTAAATGAAGGTACCCTGTAACAGAAGAAACAGTGCTCCAAGTAAAATCTTCAGTTGTGGTAGCAGATTATATCTTTACGTGATGTAGTTAAAACTAGAAGTCAAACAGAATGACAGTTTCAATTCTGCATATCCGGGAAATTATGCTATGGCTGCTCTGTGTTTATTATGACAATTGATAATTGTCGTGCCTTAAAAAGTGTTTGTAAATGTATTTTAAATAAGCACATGAATTACCCTTATTTTAAAGGATATTGAAGGGATTGATACAAACTGGAGCTTCAATGATAATCTATGTTTAAAAAGTATAAAACAGAGCTAAGCAAAGAATTCTCACCTGAGGAATCTTGAATGTCCAAGAAGCACCTATAGAAATGTTCAACATCCTTAGTCATCAGAAAAATGCAAATCAAAAAAAAATCCATGAGATTCCACCTAATACCAGTCAGAATGTCTAAGATCAAAACTCAGGTGACAGCAGATGTAGGTGAGAATGTTGAGAAAGAGGAGCACTCCTCCATTGTTGATGGGATAGCAAGGTGGTAAAACTACTCTGGAAATCAGCCTGGCAGTTGGTTCTTCAGAAAATTAGACATAATATTATTACCTATGGGCTCAGCTATACCACTAGTGGGCAGATACCTAAAAGATGCTACAATATATAACAAGGATACGTGCTCTACTATGTTCTTAGAAAATTATTTATAATAGTCAGAAACTGGAAAGAATACAGATGGCCTTCAACAGAGGAATGAATACAGAAAGTGTGGTACATTTACACGATTGGATTACTACTTAGCTATTAAAAACAATGGCTTAATGAAATTCTTAGGCAAATGGATGGAGCTAGAAAATATCATCCTGAGTGAGGTAACCCAATCACAAAAGAACACACATGGTATGCACTCACTGATAAGTGGATATTAACCCAAAGGCTTGAAATAACCAAGATACAATTCATAGACCACATGAAGCTCAAAAAGACGGAAGACCAAAGTGTGGCTGTTTCAGTCCTTCTTAAAAGGGGGAACAAAATACTCATAGGGGCAATTACAGAGACAAAATGTGGAGCAGAGACTAAAGGAAAGGCCATCCAGAGACTGCCCCACCTGGGGGTCCATCCCATATACAATCACCAAAAACAAAAACTATTGTAGATGCTAAGAAGTGCTTGCTGACAGAAGCCTGATATTGCTGTCTCTTGAGAGGCTCTGCAAGAGCCTGACAAATACAGAGGCATTTGCTTGCAGTCAGCAATTGGACTGAGCATGGGGTCCCTAACGTAGCAGTTAGAGAAAGGACTGAAGGAGCTGAAGGGGTTTGCAACCCCAGAGGAAGAACAACAACATCAACAAAGCAGACCCTCCAAAGCTCCTAAGGATTAAAGCACCAACCAAAGAGTACACAAGGAGGGATCCATGGCTGAAGCCGCATATGTAGCAGTAGATGGCCTTGTGGGGCATCAATGGGGAATGAGAGGGCAGGGAGGTGGGGGTGGGTAGGTGGGTAGGGGAACACCCTCATAGAAGCAGAGGGAGAGGGGATGGGATAGGGAATTTTTGGGGGTGAAGAGACCGGGAAAGATAATATTTGAAATGTAAATAAATAAAATATCCAATAAAAAAAGCCACATTAAAATAGAAAAAAAAAGTATAAAATGGCCCTGTTTCAAATATAAAGACAAAAGTGTGCAAGATAAAAGCTCTGTTGTAATGGACTTCCTTATTATCTGACACCATATATGTTTAATATTATGCAGTAAATTAGATATCTGGTTAGGAATTCAAATGCATCTTTTTGGTTTTTAGCTTCATGCCCCTGATATTTAATGAAGGTGGGACATTTTAATGTACTTTCTGTCTTTTGCTATATGATGTCTGATCAGTTTCCTGTAATGTTTACTTCATGTATTTTTAAAGTCCTTTGCTCTTTTTATCCCTGATAGATTTATAAGATTTATTGCATATATACTTTTATCACACATATAAATATTCTATGAGATGTATGTGGAAAATCCAATCTGTGAATCATAAAATGACTGAGTGAATTTAAATATTTGTGAGTAATATCACATTATGTTGAAACATGGCATCTAGTATAGAACATGTTCTCAACCAGATGATTTGTGTTGGCGTTTTTCCTTTTGAGAATCACGAAGAATTGCATTATTTCTTTTAAGTCACATATACCTGTTGTTGGCTCAACAGAAAAGTATGGTTGGCCTCGTTCTAAGTTGTATAGGATGCGAGCATGATAGCCAGTTGTAGGATCATCCGCATCATTGGCTGTCACCTTGATCACAAACGTTCCTAAAGAGAAAAGATGTATTCACAGTAATTCAGATTTAGGTCTCACTCAACAATAAACCCAATTCTACAAAACAAACACAATGATCATGTTAAAGAAAATCATGCTGTTATTCCTATTTCAAATGACAAATTACTATACAACATACAAGCAAGAGAATATACCTATATCAATAGACTTCATTCCCTTAAGTTCTGGGGACAGTAAACTAATTAATTGTATTAATGAAATGAACTATTACATCATTCGTTGTTGCATATTGTTTATAATTTTTCCAAGAGGTGTGATGAGTGGAGGAACTTGAAAGTATTATCAAATGTATTAAAGTAGTAAGTAGCTTAAAAATAAAATTGAAAAGCATTTATAAATATTATAGTAATGAGCTTCAGGAAGTATCAATTGACAATAGGTACACTGACTAAAAATTCCTAAATCTCTTTGTAAATATCTACTTAATTTATTTTTTTAAAAAAATGCAGACACATAAGTAAACATTCTTATTAAAAGTCAACATATGGATATAATTAATCATACATCTGCAATAAACATTAAGTGATATCAAATAAGTATTTCAAAGAACTGAATTTTACTTTGTGTTTCTGTTAACATAGAACTTCAAACCATGATCCTTATGAAAAATCATTTTTTGAAGTACTATATTCTTTATAAATAAGAGTGACAAGAAGAGCTTAAAATAAAGTAGACCGTTCAGATCTCTTCACAGATAGCTTCATAAAATCACCCAGAAAATCCCTATCATAAATGTCTTCTGTATTTTAACTGCTGAAAGTAAAAACTGTGACTCTCATTAGTTTGCTTTGTTTTTTTCTTTTTGCTTTAGTATTGTTTTTCTAACATTCTTGAACAGAGCAGAATATTTTATAGCAAATAGCTATTAATATAATTGTTAGCCAATATCTCAACCTAGTTAAAAATCATGCTACAATAAAATGTATGAAAAGGAAGTGTTTCATCTATCTCTTCAAATTCTCAGCTATCCCAGCTGTTCAACATACATACAAGGTAGCTTCATGGGGTTTTAAAAATCATGCATTTAGTGTAATCATTAAAATACTGTAAAGAAATATCCCAGATACCATTAATTTAATTTGCATGTAATGCACTGGGTAGGAAGTGTTTTTAAATTGTCCTTTGAACCTAAAATTTTTAATTTTTTCCTATTTCTTCTTATGCTTTTGTATAAATTCTTTGCATAGAACCCAGCTCTAGTTTCAAGAACTAAACCAGATGTCTTTGCTTTCTGAAAATCTTAGAAAACCTGTAATTTGCTAATTGAAGAAATTCACAATATTTTACATGCTTAAATGTCTTTAACATATAATTATGCAAGTAAATAGGAAGAAAAAGCAATGCAATGAACCCAGTTTGGCACCCTTCACATTGCTGTATTTTTTTTTCTTTCCATTAAAAGAAAAGAATGACAAATTAAGGCATTTTTTTTTTTGGGTAACAAAAACCTAACTACTTGAATATTTAATGTTATTACCTCACTTTAAACTAAATAGAAAACCTAACATATTTAATTTATGCATCACACAACATAATTAGTCGACTGTGTGGAAAATTAGATCAAAATCTTTTGAGTGAATTTACATAAATTCACAGAATACCTTTGTCATTGTAGCTTAATAAGTAATTTGATTTCTGGAGAAGTATCCAACTATTCTTTATTATGAAACTGTTATTTTTTTATAATTATTTTATGAATCTCCATGTGAATGTGACATATGCTCACATATTCATGTTTCAGTACATGCATATGCTTGTATTTCTCAGTGAAAGAAGTAAATCTATTGTCCTGTTCTCTCTTTTTCTTCCTTCTAATATGAGACAGGATCAGTTGCTGAGCTAGGCACTTGATCAGGCATTCCGGGGATCTTTCTGCTTTCACTGTCTCCATCACTGATGCTACTGGTGATGATGAGGATGTCTAGGTTCTTAAGTGAGCTTGGGATCCAAACTGAAATTTTAAATTCTATTTAGAAAGCACTCATACATCCCGAGCCACTTCTCCAGTCCAGTTATTTAAAATTAAGAATCAATAGCCTTATAATTAGACAACTTAAAATTATACTGTATTTCAGATTTGTTCTGTCATTGATCAGAACAATGAGAATTGAGGAAGGATATGCACGAAACCACATATTTATGTGCATGTGTCTGTATGTACATTATTCAACAAAAGCTGGAAAATATGCAGATTTTCTAAAAGTTTAACATATTTATACTTCACCTTAATTCTTAAAACTTTAAAATCTACCATTCTACAACAGAAAGACTATGATGTAATTTTATATATTTCTGCTTTTCTTAATCTTTATTGGCTTTGGAATTAATTTTACAGTCTATTCAAGTTAAACATCACCTGTATAATTCATGCATAATTGGCAAATTCACTATGAAAATAATAATGCACCTCTCAGTGCAAATGATCAATTGTTTGAGAAACTCTGCTTCCATTATTAGTTAAATATATGTCAATTAAGGTTTCCTATTTGATAGAAACAAATGATTAACTCCTATGTTTCCATTTACAAGAACAAGAGGTGTAGATGAGAGTTTGAAGGCAGGAATGACAAAAGGGAAATAATACAATTGTATTACAATGTCAAAAAGGCATACTCTTAAAACGAAAATGTCAGCTAAAAATGTATTCATCATTAACACAAATATTTTTAGTGGTTGGGTTCCTTTAACCAACATTATCTATTGTATCATCTATAATGTATAGACCAAGGAACATCACAGAAAAGTGAGCAGAATAGTTGCAGCAGCCAAAGAAAGCAGGAATTATCTTGTACCATCTAGACATGAAATCAAAGCATCTGTGAAATCTCAAGAATATTGGTACCTAAGTTCTGACAGCTACAGCAGTAGTAGGCATATAAATATTGATGAGGGAACGCTTGTGGTGCTCTATCACTAGGTGAAAAAATACATGCAATTAACTGCTAAGAAAAGGGAAATTAATCTTCCCAAAGGATGAGCTTCCTGGTTGATTAAACCCATAATAATGGATCAGCCCTAAGAATACATACATACAGGTAATCTGAGTAGACTCAGAATACCCATTTATGTATGTCTTTATGTATATATATGTATGCGTATGTGTATGTATATATGTAATATAAATGGTTAAAGAAGGGGAAATTAATTTTGGATGAGGAAACAGACATACAGGAAATAGGAGTAAGAAGTAAAGAGAACATGAAGAAATTACAGTTTCGCTAAAAAACAGAAGTAGTTATCTGACATCAATGGGAGATTTGGCCTTTGGTCTCATGGGAATTTGATGCCCCAACGTAGGGCGATGCTAGAACACGGAGGTGATAGTGGGTGAGTGGACGGAGGAGCACCCTACTAGAAAAAAAGGGGAGGGGGCAAATGGGATGGGAGGCTATGGAGGGATAACCAGAAAGGGGATATCATTTGAAATAAAAATGAATAAAATCATTAATAAAAAAATAAATTAAAACAACACAATTTTGTAGTTTCTGCAAAAAAGGTATTCAAATTTATTGTATATAGTTCAACTGAAGCATTTTATGTGTGTATGTGTGTGTGTATATACATCATATACATATACATATATATTTATATATAGTCTCTATATTCTATTTTGACTATATATCATACATGTATATAGCATATGATTTTATATACTCTATATATTATTTATGCTCTATAAATGTGTATCATATGTCATCTAGATAACTGTTAAAGGTAATCCTGACTAGCTTCACCCCAAATTTTAGCTGCTTTCCTGCCTGAATTTAATTATAATTTAGTTTGGAAAGAAAGTTTTGGTAGACATACTATGACTCAAATTGTTCCACTCTACAAATGCTAAGGTTAACTTACGATTTGGAACTCTATCAATATGCAAAGAAAATTGATATGAAAAATTATTAGACAAAACGCTTCTAAAAATTAAGTTTTATTTGGATGAAAATGAAAATAAAGGTTGACCTTTTAATTCTAAAAGTGATTAATTTTTAAGCACATTTTTATTCTCTTTTCAAATCATAATACAATTACATCATTTTCTCTTCCCTTTCCTCTCTAAAAACATTTCTATTTACCTCCTGTTTTCTTTAAAATTATTGAACATTTTTTTATTGTTTAGTTTCTCTCTCTCTTTCTCTCTCTCGTTGTCTGTCTCTCTGCCTGCCTGCCTGTCTGACTGTGTGTGTGTGTTTGTATGTAGCTCAACAGTAATCATATAATTTGTGAAGTGCTAACATCTTTTCCTAAATTAAAAGCCAATGATATTTCATGCCTCCTACGGTTTTACTTTGTTTCATTTCTCAAAAAGCAATACTATGTGTTTACAACAAAATGGTGACAAATTGATTAATATCTTTGTAAGAAAATAAATAAAAGTCTAATATGTAAAATTACTTACTGAAAAAAATCTTTAGGACAAAGTTAAGGACATTCTATTACATTAAAGAGTTTAAAGAATAATATTTTATCCATTCATTTTCAAAATCAGTCACAGTAATGTAGAGTAGGAGTGACATCAACATATCCATAACTACCACACTGGATTTTAGAATATTATTCTGTAATTAGGACTACTTGGTAAATAACAATCAATTAATTAGATTGTTTGCACATTTATCAAACAAAACATATACAGTGCAACATTCCTTTTTTCTGCATGAATGGTTAAAATCATGTAATACTTGAGAGATATTCTCATTAATGTGAATTTAAGTATTACATCTTTTTGTTTATCTACTGAACCTTTACCATGATCATACAATATTTTTGTGAAAATAAATGTCCTACAATACTAGAATTGTTCTATATTGACTCATTGCTTTTTGTAAAACCTATTATGTCAATGACATGGGATGTAAGATTGTACCAGGTATTTCAGAGAAAGGTATAGTTTATTTATCTTTGGGAATTGTATATCGGTATTAAATTCTATCGTTTTTATGACACAGATCAAATTAAACTGAGATGATTCTATATTATAAAAGAAAATATGTACATTATATATACATTTTCACATAAATTATCATGTTTGCAGAAAGGTTAATAAATGCTAATCTCTACAAAAATAAACCGAACTTGAAGATTAGAAGAAATCTTAGTAGTAAAATCAGTAAGAGAATGTCTCCACACATCAACGTATTCTGTAGGCACTAGATATAACTGATATAAGGAAATTGTAACTCTGTCAGTGTGGATTTATTTGACATTAATGATCACCCAAGAATTTTATGGAAGACTTAATGATTCCCACAAAACTGTTAAGTTTAGGATTTGCAGGCAAATCTCATTGGCTTCTGGTGTTTCAGCTCACAGAGAGTGTTTTATCCTCTCATAATGATCAGAGGCATCCAAACAGAAAACGTAAAAGAGTAATAAATTTTTACGTGCACACTAATCATGGTGGCCATAAGGAATTCAGCTCAAAAACCTGTACGTAGGTCATTATATAATTAAAGTGTGTATTTATTGGTGAGCACTTAAATAAACACATGTGCCACAGTTTATAAACGTTGACTGCTGAGATTCAATCCTTTGATTTCAAAATGAATCATTTATTTTGATATGTAAATATTATATAGGTTTGAAACTTTCAGTATGCCAGGTAAGAGATGTTTAGTATGTTAGAAATACAAATTGTGTTAGGAGACATTAATTTTGTGTTTTGAGATAAGCAATAACATGTTCAGGCCTGCCTGTCACTTTTAGTGTAGATTAGACTGAACTAGAACCCGTAGATATCCATGTGATTCCATCTCCTGAGTGCTACGGTTACAGGTCATCACTTCTATAACCAGGCATGAAATAGCTATTTTAGCATACAGTTCATAAGTTTTATTCATTTTTAATTTATCAAGATATTTACTGGTATAATTGTGAACTCTAAAGGAATGCACAGTGCATAAAACTATATTTACCTGTACATTACGTTGGGTATTTTTCTGACAATGAAATAGTGAAAAGATTAATTAGATGATTGAAGTAATTAGGTTCAATAGATAAGTTACTGTTTTATTAGAGATCTGCTTATCCATTCACAATGAGATCCAATTTCATTAGTAGGAAGACCTTCACCTACTAGTAAGTCCTAAATGACACAACGTTATTATATTTGACAGGTAATTCCTTAACAGCCCAGAAATTACAAGAAATATGTGAGAAAGAATACAATGGGACATATATGTGTACATATATATAAAACAATCAATGGATAAGAATGAAAATTTTCATTTATAAACTTCAAAATATGCTGATATGTTTTAAAAACATGACTAAAGCGTTTGTTTGTGAGGCGTTGGGCTGTGAGGGGCAGCTGGGTACCTGGTCAAGCACAAGCTTTAAACTCTGGTGACTCTCAGGCATGGTAGGAGTTTCACCATGCTCCTGGGCTTCTGGCTCCTTTCACATAGATACAGGCCCCCCCACATCCTACTGCAAAGAGGTTTGTGGCCATCAGTCATGTAACAGCAGCACCCCAGGCCCTCCCACATGTAGATAAGGTATTCCCCAAGCTCTCAGACCAAACCAATCGGAAGTACTTGCTGCCAGACCCTAACCGACCCCAAAACTCTATATAAGAATCCGATCCAGAAGGAATAAAGGTGTGTGAGAATTATTCTGTCATCTGAGAGCTTCTGTTATAAGAGCTGTAACACTGATACTTGGGAAGAGATCTGCTCTCCTGAAATGCCATCAAGAGCTTCCCTGCATTCCTTTCTGGCTCCTTGGCCTCTCACCAGCTCATCCAGGCCAGACTCAAGGCAGAGCAAGGGGTGAAAGTCTTGGAGCAACTGAGGCAGCGACAACGAGATAGAGTTGGGGCAGCTGCAGCAGTGGAGGCAGCAGAGGCCATTCCCCGTCCCTGCTCGCACTCACTCCCTTTTTCCTGAAACATTGCACCTGGCCTGGCCAGAGATCTCTATGGAAAGCCTCCAGCACACAGACCTGCGTTTATTTATCATTTTAAGTAGATTTTAAAATTAAATTCTTCTGTATATTGTTAGCCAAATTTTAACTGACTTAATTGAAAATTTTATCATAATCGTAGGTTCTCCGGACTGCACAGATATTTCTCTTCTCCGAAGAAGGTGACTACTTTGCCAAGTAGAAATCATCTCTTCAATCATTATAATTAAGGCTTTAATGGAAATGGCATTGAAAAGTAACTTAAAATAAACAAAGCTAAATGTAAATGTTCAGGCATTCTTTTATTTTATGTTACTTGATTTTAATACTTCTAATAGCTTTTAAAATTATTATTACTTGTATTTTTTGCACACCAACCCTTGCCATCCTCCCCACAACCCCTCCCACAGTTCTTCATCCTATTCTCCCTCCCCCATTCCCTATCTCCAAGAGGATATCAATTTGAACTATTGACTGTGTCTTTTGTCTTACAGAAGTCTTTTTAGTTTCATGAGATCTCATTTATCAATTTGATCTTAGAGCCTGAACCATTGGAGTTCTGTTCAGGAAATTTCACCTCGTGCCAATGAGGTCCTGGCTCTTTCCCACTTTCTCTTCTATTAGATTCAGTGGATCTAGTTTTATGTTGAGGTCCTTGATGCACTTGGACTTAAACTTTGTGCAACGTGACAAATATTTTCATTCTTTCTACATACAGACTGCCAGTAAGACCAGCACCACTTATTGAAGTTGCTTTCTTTTTTCCATTGTATATTTTTGACTTGTCAAAGATCAAGTATCCATAAATGTGTGGGTTTATTTCTGGGTCTTCAGTTCTATTTCTTTGATCGACTTGTCTGTCTCTGTACCAATACTATGCAGATTTTGTCACTATTGTTTTACAACAATACTTTTTATTGTAGTACAACTTGAGGTCAGGGGTGGTATTTCCCCCAGAAGTTCTTTTATTGTTAATTGTCTTTGCTATCTTGGGTTTTATTTTGTTGTTGTCGTTGTTTTTGTTTTAGTTTGTTTGTTTTTCAGATGAAATTTATAATTTCTCTTTCCATGTTTCTGAAGTATTGTTTTGGAATTTTGATGGGGAATTCAATGAATCTGTAGATTGCTTTTGGTATCATGGCCATTTTTACTATGCTAATCCAACCAATCCATCAGCATGGAAAATATCTCCATTTTCTGGATTCTGATTTGATTTCTTTTTTAAGAAACTTGAAGTTCTTTTTATAGAGAGCTTTTACTTGTTTAGTTAGAGTTACTCCAAGATATTTTATATATTATTTGTGACAAATGTGAAGGATATTGTTTGCTTATTTTCTTTCTCAGACTTTTTATCATATGTATGAAGGAAGGCTACTGATTTGCTTGAGTTAATTTTATATCCAGCCACTTTGTTGAAGTTTTTTATCAGCTATCATATCATGAGCAAATAGGTTTTCTGTACAAGTTATTTTTTAATTCATCATGTATAGTTTGTAAAATTTAGCAATCAATAATGTATGTATATCTAAACCTTTTAAACATGATTTTAAGACTGATATGAGGAAAACTTCACAATACAGAGTGAAAAATATGTAAAATGTAAATTTTTAGCTGAATTCTACTTGAAAGTTTATGTTTGAACTTAAATTTATTTCAGACATATATGCATCCAACAAGTAGTATATAGGAAGATGCTTGTGTTTGATACAAATAGTGCATGAATAAAACTATCACATTATACCTTAGAAGAGCAAGCAAGTTTGACAAAATAATAAAACATTAACTAAATAACATTCAACAGGAAGCTGTCATAATTTTTCTTCTAATTGTACCTTATAAAATATTATTATATAATATATTTTTCAAATATTTTACTTAAAATGTTTTGTCAAAAGAAGAATTGTGAAAATTAATGCACTAACAAACATATATTCAAAAATATAAATCTATGGTTTTGTAAATAAAGCTCTGATGTAAAGTAATATTTAATACCTTCTGGAGACATCTCAGGTACAATGGCCTCATAAGGTTCATCTAGGAATCTGGGTTCATTGTCATTGATATCCGAAACTCTGATGACAAACTCAGACTCAGGTTCCACAGCCTTCCCATTAGTGGTGTCTATTACCTGAGCTCTCAGAATGTAGAGGGATTGTTCCTCTCTGTCAAGCTTCTGTATGGCAAATATGTCACCTGTTCTTTCATCAATGCTAAAGCTTCCAGCACCAGTCTCAAGTAACTTGTACTGGAAAGAGTTGTTTCCATTGTCTAATTCAGATCTTAGCTGCAAGGGTAAACATAGACAAGTGAGTTTTCAGACATATAGAAAATTCAATGCAGAATGCACAGTTTTTAAAAATACTAATCAGTATCAAGTGAATTTTCAAGTAAATGATTCTATATAATTTGTTTTTGAAATTTTTATGCTCTGGCTATCCTAGAGCTCATTATGTAAACCAGGTGGCCTCAAACTTGGAGATTCACTTGCTTCTGCATCCAAAATACTGGGATGAAAAGTGTGTACCACCACAATCCGGCTTGTATTCTTCATTATATCATCCAATGTAAAATATTAACATCAGATATATATGCATGTCAGGCAGTGGAGATGTTCATGATTTCCAATACAATGAAATATCAAAACTTTATTGTTTAAAAATGAGTCTAATTAGAAATTTGGTGAACATAAAATATTAATTGTATTAAACTCAACTAGTTCAAATATTTTTAGTAAAGACATGATCTCACACATCTATATTAATTTAAGACATGCAGAAATATAAGAAAGCTATCATCTAGATTTACTTAAACACTAGACTTTTCTGGTTAGACTGAAAATACATAGAAGATACAGATACATAAGGATATTTAAAGAGAGAATAAGTCTATCAACAACATATTTATGGCCTTTCTGAAATCTACAAAGCATTAAAAACAAAATCATTATAGCTACTATCATTATGATCATTGTATTTTTAAAGGTATCTATTCTCTTTTTCTGTTTGCATGTGTATGCAAGTGTGCATATGTGTGTAGATTTTTTCATCATGTTTGTATGTAGACCACCAGATAAGAATGGGTGGAAGTCAGTTATCCCCTTAGAACTCAGGTTGTTAGGCTTCAAGGCTCCCTCATTTACTCACTGTTCATTCTTACCTGCTTTAATAATTCCTTTTTATAGTGCAAGGAATAGCAAAAATAAATTAGACTTCTTATTGTTACATGGATTTTGAGTACGTTTAATACTTAGACAATAATCAATAAAGGTCCGTATTTTATTTACTGAGAAAAACTATATTACAAACATTTAAATCTCAAGGGGCTGAGGAGTACTTGCCTAGTATACAAACAACCCACAGTTTACTCACCAGCACCACTTAAATGATGAACAGTGGTAGAGGCTTCAAATTATAGAAGAGTACCAACAAGAAGTTCAAAAGTTCAAGATCATTCTGTTCTACCTACCACTTACAAGAATAGATTATCTATAGATATAATCTCAAAGGGATAAAGCTAAACAGAAAGAAAAAGAAAGAAAGAGACAGAAAGATCAAGACAGAGAGACACAGACAGAGACAGGAAAGTTAAAACCTTAAAATTAAGCAACTCATTTAAGAAATGTAAACTTATCCACCCCATTCTAACTTCTCATATGTGCATATTTCCTTATATTTATACTGTCATTCTGTTCAAACCAACTTTGTCATCATCTATACTGTTGATGGTCCCCTTCAATTACTGGAGGTCAGGCCTCTATCCTCTATCTAATACTGCCTTCGCAAGTTTAGAATTGCCACAGCCCTTCTATACTTAGAGAAGGGAGGAGATGTCAGGGGCAGCCCTGATTACACACTGAAGGCCTAAAATCAGCCCTAGGCCTAAAAACAGCAATAGGCCTGTCATACATGTATACTAACACCAAGTCTTAGGTCTCTGTGGAAAAACATTGAAACAGATGGCTATAAGCTATTGTAAACAGGCAGCTTTTGTGGAAATTTACCAGCCCGAGTAGTCATAGACCTTGTAAATAGGTAGCCTTGGCAGACAATACCAACTTAAATAAGGACAAGTGAGTCATAGGCAGAGTCATAGTGACCTGTCCCCTGAACCTTCACCCAGCCGATACCCGGTTCTGAAGATATCTGTATTCCCCCTGAACAACCACACTCCAGTGACATTCCCTTTCCCACATACTGCCTTTCTGTGTTTATAACCCCTGTGTGAATGAATTACAATTTGAGAAAAAAATAAATAAATTATTAAAAAAAAAGAAGGGTGTAAATGGCAAAATTAACAAGAATGGGCAAATGAAAACTGGGGTTATCCAAAAGTTAATAGAAATTGAACAAAGAGAATACCTCCAAGAGATGCAGGGAGCTAAGTTTATCAATTGTGTCTAGAAAGGTCAATGGCAGACACTGTAAAAACAATGCTTTCAAACAAAATCATTTGGTCTTTCACTTTTTGTCTTTCAATATATGTAATTTGTTCTTTAACTTGTTCACTGAAGTTCTGTTAGGATTTTTGTTGTTCTTGTTGTTTATTTGTTTTTGTGCTGAAAATTGAACCCAGGACCTTGTACATCTATTTAATGGATAAATAAAGAAAATGGATAGAAAAAAAAATTGTATGTAACATAAAGTGACCTTTTGACACAACAAAACGGTTTGGATGATATCTCATACATAAATTATTTTACACTAAGATGTCACTACTTTCTATCTGAAACATGTTAGCATTATGGAGCATATGTCTGTCCCAGGGTCACCATTTATGAATATGTTCTTTTTTGAATAAGAATTTCATGGAAAGGCATTCATTCAGGAAGCACAATTTACAGTGATTGCAATGGTAAGAGTTGTAAGCTATTGTTCTGGTCTAATTCCTTGTTGTACGTGATCATGGATACAACCAGACTATAGCTTAAACTAAAAATTTATTGTTTTAATAATAAGATAAAATATCATTTCTAAATGATGAAACAGGGAAGCTACTATATAAACTCACTTTCTTGCTACATCTCTTAAACTGGACATAATTTTTTATAGAATGAAATGATTGGTATTTACTAAGTCATTGGCTAAGAAATTAGTAGAAATAAATTTACACATCAATGTATCAAATGACTAAATAAAATTTGAATATGTATTCAGTAATAGATGATAAGTGAAATTTAGAGACAAATAAATGTATTCCACACTTATTTGTGAAATGATTTTCAAAGCACATTGAGCTTAGTGTTTAAGGACAGTAGGGTACCCAAAATATTTTCTTGGCTGCTAGGTTTCCTCATTATGTCTCCAGACTCTACTTAAGGAAATTCCTGCCCATTGGTCATACAGGTATAGGATATACTTTATTTGGACAAAAATATTTACTCAAATAAGTATCTTTTGTTACGGTGGGAAGCTGATATCACTGCAAAATTTTACCAAATTGAACATAATGATTTACCCTACTTTATTAGTTATCAAATGTGAAGCATCCCTGCTATCACTTATCCTCAATGTGTTTTTCAGTTACAAGCACCAAGAATTGATTATTTTTTTTACTAAAACTTATTTACATATTCAATTAGCCATGTGGAATTATTTATAAAAAATCAAAATGATCTCATATTTAATTTTATAAAGTTAAAATAATAAGGTCTGCATGAATTGTCTTTTGCTCATTCAGAGGACTTCTGTTTAATTCTCAAAATCTACAAGGTGTATGCTCAAAGTCGTCTTTAACTATAGTTTCAAGGGATCCTATGATTTTCAGCATCCACAGGTATCAGGCATGCATGTGTTACACATTAAGACAGGCAAATATATCTGCATCTGTATCTAATTATATCTATATATGTCTATCACTTAAAAAATGGACTAAGAATACGCAGAACCAGTCATTTATGTGTGATAGCCATGTGTGCAGTTTGCCTGCAGCAAATCAAAGGAGCAGAGTAATACCATCTGTGGCTGGCACACACATACAGACATGGGAAAGTTTAAAAATCTATGGTTGAATATATATTTTATGGTTAGTATACGAAGCATGTTAGTGGATTTTGTGAACCAGAGTAACAAATATCATCTTGAGTGAGGTAACTTACACCAAAAAGGACATGCATGGTGTGTACTCACAAATAATTGGATATTAGCCAAAAACAAAACAAACAAACAAACAAACAAACAAACAAACAAAATACAGAATATCTAGGACACAATCCACAGAACTAAAAATGGTCAACAAGCAGAAGGGCTCAAGTGAGGACACATCAATTTCACTTGGGAGGGAGAAGAAAGCATCACAGGAGTTTGGGAGGGAGGGATGGTCCTGAGTGGGAAAGGCGACGGGGAGAGGAAGAGGGAATCATGATCAAGTATTGGATAGGAAAAAAGGACTTAAGCCCCGAGGGCCAGCAAAAAGAATGGAAACAGGTAACCTTGGGAAGTAGGAGGTTGGGGGACCCTCCAGAATGTACCAGATACCTGGGAGGTAAGAGAGTCTCAGGACTCAAAGAGAGGGGCCTTAGATGAAATGCCCTACATTAGGGAGAGGGAACTAATAGAGCCCACCTCCAGAAGGAAGATAGGGCATCAAGTGAGAAAGGGAATTGCTGTGGAAAAGTCAAAACTCTGACCCATAATTTTTCCTGTCTGAAAGAACTGCAGTGATGGAAATGGAGAGGAGCCTGAGGAAAAGAAGGTCTAGTGACAGGCCCAAAGTGGAATCCAGATCAAGGGGAGGTCCCAAGGCCTGACACTATTATTGAGGCTATGGAGTGTTCACAAAAAGGGACCTGTCATGACCACACTCCAGGAGACCTAACAAGCAGCCAAAAGAGTCACATGCAGATATTTGCACTCAACAAGTGAACAGAAGCTGCTGACCACTGTAGCTGAATTAGGGAAAGGCTGGAAGAAGCTGAGGAGGTGGTCCTAGCAGTTTCAATCAACCTGAATCCTGGAGATCTCTCAGACACTGAGTCACCAACCAGGCAGCATACACCAGCTGATATGAAGCCCTCAACACATATACAGCAGAGGGCTGCTGGGTCTGGATTCAGTCAGAGATGATGCCCCTAACCATTAAGAGACTGGCGGCCTCAGTGAGTGGGGAGGTCTGGTGGAGTAGGGACATTAAAGATGGAGGTGAGGTGGAGATATGAGATGTAGAGCAGTCAGAGGGTGGACTGGGAGGGGAGTACAATCTGAGTATAAAAAAAAAGATTAAATAAAATTTTAAAAATAGAAACAAAGTAAGTAAGTAAATTCTATGGGTTTCCAATTAAACTTTGCTACCAGTTAGTTAGCAGTTAATTTATTTCAGTACATCTATCCAGGGTGAGGAAAAAGTTATAAAGCAACATGTTACTGTAATTTCCTGTGTTTAAAGTAAAAAACTAATAACACAAACATCAAGTGTACTAATTGAAGAGGTTCTCATAAGAAAGTATTCTTTAAGTATAGTTCTCCAAAAAAAATAAAATAATCATTGTTTACACTTCAGCTTCACTAATGAAATGATGAGTGTAGGCTCTTGAAATTCCTGAGCCATTAAAATGGATTGAATTGTTATGCGTCATTTGAAATTAATGAGAGCATGTCAATAGCTCTTTAGCTTAGCTAAATATGATGCTAAGTACTGTTGATAAATAATATTTGACCGTGTGACTGCTTCGCTCCATTGTAACAAATAACGTTATTTCATTTTTAGATGCTGATAAGTGGAGTCAGCTTACTCATGAAAAAGATAGAAAGATAAGTTGGAAAACTAGACTTCCCTCTTTTAAGATTTGAATGAGTGTTCTCAAAATCAAGCTTACTATGCTTTTGCTTGTTTTATTTTCCCCTAAGGGATCCTTTAAATATGTGGAAACCATCAGACTTTCCAAACCCATTCACATCACACCTTTATAAAGCCAACTATTGTAACTCTTTAAGAAATTAAGTACCCGTCCGACATGTTGTATGGTATCCATTTCCTCTGGTACAACAAATTGGTTCCACACCCAGCCACGCTTAGCTCTCCCAGGAGATGGTACTACTCTCTGAGCCTTCTCAGCTTTCAAGGTCTCTGCAACTTTAAGGCAAGGCCATAGGAGAGTATTCAGCAACATCCAGTGTTTCAAGAAGCGGCGACTCATTCTGGTGTGTATTTGGATTCCAATTCTTATTCTAGAGAGGAACAGGACTGATTCAAACCAAATCTGTTTGTTTTTCAATACTCCTGTACAATCTTAAGTCCCCTGTATGGTTCCTAAAATGTGGGAAACAGAAAAAAATTACATTTAAAGAACATTTTTCCACATAACTACTAAAGACAGGTTACAACATTTGCAGCTGGAAATAAGGGAATAAAACAGACATATAATTTATCTCCTAATTAAGCTAGTTAACTGCATTTTGTAGCTAAGCAATGATCTGATTGTAATGCTATAAATTTTAGCTCAAGCACCATTTGTTTTAAACTGCACTCATGAATCTTCCTGAAGGTTGTAGTGATCCTTTAAAAATCTCCTTGATTGACAGCTGACATTGAGATAGAGCCAAGTAGTATTACCATTTAACTGGCTAACTTTCTCATATATTTCTAACTCTGAAAATGTCTGGCTAATGAATTAAAGCAAGAGTCAAGCAACGAGATAAAATAGTCCTCAACTTTGACTATCCTAAGATTTATCTTACAATTATTGAAGTTATATTTTACTAAATAAATAAAATACAAAATAATGTGTCCAATGAGAAACTTTATTTAATAATGATTAATCAATAAATTAATTAATAATAGTTTATTTAATGTGGGGAAAAATTAAAATGAATTTCACCATTATATCAAAGCTTAAAAATTTGTGTTGCATACTATTTAAAATGTGTGGGTGAGTATGTGTGTGTCTGTGTGCTATAGATCAAATCATGTACATGATAAACAATTAAACTGCTACTACTAACTAGAACAATAATAGATGATAGATAGATAGATCAGATAGATAGATAGATAGATGATAGATAGATGATAGATACATACACACATATATATATATATATATATATATATATATATATATATATATATACTTACATAGATTTTATAGCTATGATAGAAAGAATCATGATAGGTCATTGTCATTGGTGAATAAGATTTGGAACAAGTTTATCCTTTCAAGAATTACATTTCGTGCGATATGGAAAATTATCAAAGTAAAATATCACATTTGGATAAACCATTATTTCAATTAACTTTATATTCTGATTTTGTGTGTAAGTTGAATTTGTTTTTGTTTACTCTTTATAGAATTTAATGGTGTGTGTGTGTGGGGGGTGGGTGAATGTGGGTGTGAGAGAGAGAGAGAAAGAGAGAGAGAGAGAGAGACAGAGAGACAGAGAGAGACAGAAAGAGAGAGAGATGGAGAGGGAGAAAGAGAGAGAGAGAGAGAGAGAGAGAGAGAGAGAGAGAGAGAGAGAGAGAGAGAGAGAGAATGTGTAATATATTCATATGCCCATGTTGTTACATGCATATCCGTATCACTGCACACATGAGAAGTCAGTTACAATTTTTTTGGAGTTTATTATCTTTTTCAGTGTATTCTAGGAACAAATTCATGTTATCATGCTTCATGACAAGTTCTGCATGCTGAGACACTTTGCCATCGTCTACTTTTTTCCTACTATGAACAATTTATAAGAATAAATAAAGTAAATTTGTGTATATTATTAATACATGCCATTTTTAAAAGTCTGTGAGCTTTCAAAATTAAAATTTGCTAAGACTTCAGAATAATAGGATAAGGCTTTAGAGCAACCAAGTATGCATCCAGTGTTTGAATTTAAAATATTCAAGGATCTTTAAATCAGAATTTAAGTATATTTACATGGAGATTGTCATTGATATTTGTATACATTTCTTTTTGAACGTCTATTTTTTGCTATTTTATAGTAGTTTTATCCTATCTGTTTGATGAACAAAGATAACTTCATGCTATGATGTTTTCCATATTCTGAATTGCAATAGCTGTGTCCCTGTGGCTATATTTAATATATTTCTTTCCCATGCATATTTCATATAAATCCCAGAAGCTTAAGTAAATGTAACTAAGATTTTTCTCAAATAATTATGGTAAATTAACTCATTCTCATAAAGAAAACAACTAGTTTTCTATTTGTAAGAATAAGATGTTACAGAAAAACAGTATTGTATACTAATGGCATACTCTCTAGGAGAGAAGAAAGTAATAGAAAAAGAGGGAATAATGTAATGTGATGTGGTACTGGGACATATGCTCAAAGTTCATCATATATTTGTACAAAATAGCTTTATATAGTGCAGATTAAAAATTGGAAGCTTTCAACATAAGAGCATATAGTCTAAACATTTATTGTCAGACTATAGAGATTTGGTTAAGTTCCTTTTTGACATGGACCTAATGTTTTATTAAATTTCTCTATATTGAGTTGTTTTTGCTGTTATAAATATCATCTCAAATAGGCCACAGCTGTTTTTTTTGTCCTCCCTATTGTATGACATCTTGAGCTTGTACTCATTTAGATAACATTACCACCCACCACCTGTATTTTACTATGAGTATTGTGGTGGTCTATCTTTGATTATATTATTCATTTGTAGATTCATGTATTTTTCTGAGGAATAATTATTTAAGAGCTCTGTAGAGAATATAATTTCAAAATTTACCAAGTCTAATTATAGTTAAATAGTTCAGCAAAAGTTTTGTGGAACATGAAATAAACATAGAAACCTTAGAAAACAAAATCAATTTCACAAATTTTATAACTATAATACTTGTGAAAATCATAATGTCATGCATGTTGATCAGGGAACAATTGAAATCTCTGGCCTTAAAGACATATAACAGGCCAATCATACTGAAATGCAATGATAAAGCTCACACTATCAAGTTTTTTCTTTAAGAAGAAAACAATTGGCTGGCTCTGTGGGGAGGGGGAGCTGCGCCCTGGAGCGCTCTCTTCCACCTCCCAAACTGAGGCATTTATTTTGTAGTCCAGAAGAGTGGAGGGAAGCCCTTTTTAACATGGAGCACTGGGTATCAAGCAAATGCCATCTGTGTCAAGTGCCTGCATTCCCCATTAGGATTAAAATCCACAATCCTTATCCTTCTAGACACAAGCCATGCCAACATGCAGTCCTAAGGACAGGGGGAAGGCAATGCACTCTACTGATGAGTCTGGAGAAGAGGGGGGATGAGGGACTGTGGTTAGTGTTGCTTGGTTCAAAGTTGCCTCCTGATCAAGTACTGTAGCCACTTAGCCATCACCTCCTCATTGTCTTAGAATTGTCACAGTCTTCTATGATGCACCCAACTGTATGCTAAGCTTCCTACTTTTATGGTTTGAGTTGGGACAAGTAGTACATCTTTTGACAAACTGTAAGCAATTTGGTCTAGAGAGATCTAGATTCCCAATGTTTACATATGGCTGAAAGCCTGTTTGGTCCACATATGTGGCTGCTGTTGGCTTTTGATTTATAAGGCAATGGGTGCATAGGTACAGTTTAAGGCAGTGGTGACTGGAGAGGACCATGTTTGCAGGAAGCAATTACAGCATAAATAGAGCTCTGCGATTCTAAAAAAAAAAAAAAAAAAAAAGAAGAAAACAATTGTAGTATACAAATCTGTTTCAGTGTAATCAAACATGAGAAAAAAGTAACGGTTGAAAGGAGAAACTAATTACATGTTTTACATGTTTCTCAAAAAAACATACAATTAATTCCAGCAAATTTTATATGTGAGAAAGTAATAACGCATAATAAAACCAATAATTAGCACATTAGAGATGTGTTATTCATCAGCATGACTGCATTGGGTAAGCAGTAAGGAACTGCTCAAAGGAATGACATATAAACTCATACAAAGTAATGACTGGGAGAGAAATATTAGGGGTTGGGTTAAATTAAACAATATTTTCTTCATAAGAATTTTGGATCAATTTGTGGTTTGTGCAACAAAGTTATTGTTTTTGGACATATAGCAAATGAAAAACCATAATGCATAAGAATACTGACATAAAAGAGTCTTTGCCTGTTAAGTTCTTCTATTGCAGATCAAGTATCATAAGAGGAATTCAAGCAGAGTATGATGGCTAAGATTCAACAAGTCACTGGTCCAGCCAAACAAGAATGCAAAGAAGGCAAATGGTTCCAACCCCACAGTAAGAACCATATCAACTAACCAGACCACCCAGAGCTCCCAGAGACTAAACCATTAACCAAGAGCATACATGGAGGGGTCCATGACTCCAGCCCCATAGGTAGCAGAGGATGGACTTATCTGACATCAACGTGATAAGAGGCCCTTGGTTCTGTAAAGGCTCAATGCCCCAGTGTTGTGTGGATAAGTGGGTGGGTGAGCACCCTCATAGAAGGAGGGGGAAGGGAGATGGGCTAGGTTTTTTTCTGAGTGGAGGAGAAGAACTGGGAAAGTGGATAACATTTGAAATGTGAATAAATAAAATATCCAAGAAAAAAAGAAAAGCCTAGATGCAACATTAAAGATAAATGAAAATATATTAAGTAAATATAAATTGAGTTAAACTGTCTAAATCAAAGAGGATATACTACTAGTAGTACTGGCGGCTATGAACATATCTGACATTACTAATAGAACAACATGGCTTTAGAGTTTAGACAGAATGAATTTTGCCTGGATTTTCCTATAAGTCCGTAACATCTTGTGTTGTAATGGGAAAGGAAGCATCATTTTCTCTCTGTATAGCTAGAAAAATCCAGGACCTTAATAGGTTATTGCACAGTGATAGAAACTGTCAGATCCTGAACCTTAACTCTGTCTACTCCTTTCCTAGACATCTCTGCCTCCAATGGTAAAAATGGAAACAAAAGTCTGTGTGTACCCTGCTGTGTAAGTTAGCTTACAATTTAATTTGCTTTGACAATAGTCAAGTGTGACCTCAGTGTTCTTTAAAAGTATTTATTTGGACACATATAAAAGAAAACAATAACCTATGTTTGTGTACCCTTGAGTTGTTTGGGTTCCACCTGGTGGCATAGGGATATTTTGAGGTAACATCATGGCTTAGCAAATTAAATGTATCGTGACATAGTAAAAAATACTCACAATGTAACTCCCTGAAGCATTTCAGTTGAATAAGGAATATTATTTTATAGGATTATGCAAAAAATCATAGTTTATGATTTACCACATTTGTAGGACAGAAATTTTAATATGAAATTCATTGGATAAAAAAATGAAGACAGAGCAGGACATACCATGGCTTTCTAATGGAATCTTTTCCTTAAATCTTCCAGTTCCCAATCTATTTTCAGTTGATTGTTTTCTTTGGCTCATAAGCATCTTCAAGGCCAGCAACAGTATCATTAGCGCTCTCTTGGATCTATCCACAAATTACCTATTCTAGTTGTGTGAAATTTCTTTCTCCCTTTCTCTATTATCCACAGTAGAATATCTTATTGAATTTAAGTTTTTCTTTCTCAGTGATCCAAACAAATTCTTCTCTTATCCCATAATGGTGATATTTATGGATGCCAAAATTGTGACCTCAATAATTTTAGTACATACTATAGAGCCTACAAGATATAGGAAAATGGAAAGACTAGCCACAGAGTGAGGACAAATGTTTATAATTTATAACTATAAAAAAGGAAAGTATGAAGAATATTATAACATTTTTGAAATTCAATAGCAAATGTGTCTATAAAATGCAGTATAAGAAGTATCTGAACAAAATTTCATGAAAGTACCTATGACAGAAAAGTTACAAAATAACCATAATCAGGGGCTGTCCCTAAATCTGGTGCCTACCTGTGGATTCCATTCCAGTCAGTAACTGTTTTGCCTTCTCTCTCTGTCCTCTGTCCTCATTGAGAAAGGATGTGCCTAGCTCTGCAGAGACATAATACCCAGAGTAGGTCTCCATCTTCTCAGAGAAGAGGGAGGGGGGAATGGAAGATGAGGGACCAGGAAGAGGTCGTTTAGCAATTAGAATGTAAAGTGAATACCCAGGTGGAGAAATCTCCAGACAGCCCCTCCTTCAGTTTCTGTTCCACACTTTGTCTCCATATTTGCTCCCATGAGTATTTTGTTACTCCTTCTAACAAGAACCCAAACACCTACACTTTGGTTTTCCTTCTTTGGAGACTGCTCCACCTGGGTATCCATCCCATGTGCAGTCCTCATGGAAGCAGGAGGAAGAGGGATGGGATGGGGGTTCTGGGTTGAGGGGAATTAGGGTAAGGAGATAACATCTGAAATATAAATAAATTATCCAATTAAAAATAAATAAAGAAATAAAAAGAAAAAAGAATTTAAAATGAAGTAAATTAATTCATGGGAAACAATAATTGTTATCAAATCTTTCAGTAGTATTGCAAATTAAAGTATTACAAGACACTACTACAAATAGAATGGTAACAATTAATAAATCAACTCTTTTGAATTTAAAAGCTAATCACATCTCCTTTCCTGGTGCTGGTGATGAGATTATCTTGTCTGTTTAAAAAATAGTTTTGAACTTAATAATCTTGGAACATGTGTCTACTCCTTATATTTTATTTACTTGTCTATATATGTATGTTTGAGAAAGCGTCTCTCTATGTAGCCTTGCCTATCCTGGAGCTCAGTATATTGTCCAGGATGGCCCCTAACTCATAGTGTTCTACCTGTCCTTGCTTCTACAGTGCTGGAGTTAAAGTCATTTGACACCATGCCTGAACTGATGCATCAATTTACCTTGTAATAGCTACTAGTCTAAAATTATAACATTCATCTCAATTAAGAGTTTTAAATAGAAGTCCCACGCAAACTCATGATAGCAAAAGAGAAAGAAAGAAAGAAAGAAAGAAAGAAAGAAAAAAAGAAAGAAAGAAAGAAAGAAAGGAAGAAAGAAAGAAAGGAAAGAAGGAAGGAAGGAAGGAAAGAGAAAAAAAAGAAGAAAAGAAAAACACAAAGTGAATAACTTCTTTTGTTATCTTGGAATGCAATTCAACATTAAGGAAAGAAAAAATTATTTCTTTTTATTTTTTTAATTTAAAATAGATTCTTCCCTCATAAAACATCCCAAACATAGTCTCGCATCCCTACACTCCTTCTAGTCTCCCCTTTGATTCCTCTTCAGAAAAGACCAGGCCTCCAAGAGGCAACCCAACAAAACAAAAGATACTGTAAGTCAAAGGCCTTCATATTGAGGATAGACAAGGCAACCTAACAGGAGAAAAGAATACCAAGAGAAGACAAAAGAGGCAGAGATACTCCCTGTCACACTGTTAAGAGTCCCACAAAACCTCATGTTAACAGCCATAGCATATACACAGAGGGCCAAGCATAGTCCCTTTCTGACCATATGTTTGCTGTTGCAGTCTCCGTGAACCCATGTCTGCTTAGTTGGTTCAGTGAGCCTTGTTCTCTTGCTGTCCGCCATCTTCTCTGACTCCTCAACTCTTCCTTCCCCTCTTCCGTTGTGTTCCTTGATCCATTCCCTGGTCTCCAAGAGGAGGGGCCTTATGGAGCCCTCCAATTCAGACTTTCTGTATAATGTCTGGCTGTGGGTCTCTGCACCCACTTGCATCTATAGAAGGAGGGAGCCTCTCTGATGACAGTGGGTCTATGAGTACAAGAGAATATCACTTAAGAATCATTTCATTGTTTTTGTTTGTTTGTTCTATTTGTTTTGCTTTCATTTTCCTTTGTTTGTTTTTGTTTTTTGTTTGTTTGTTTGTTTTCCCAATCCTGTTCCCTTCTACTCTCCGTTTCTGGATCAGGTTTCTGGGCTTTCCAGGCTCTGTTTTCTGACAATCCTGACAGAATAGGGCGTGAGCTCTCTTTAGTGGCAGAGACCTCAACTTTAACAAAATATTAGTTGGCTACTCCAAAAGGCATCATGTCAATTTGCTCCAGCACATCTTGCAGGCAAGGACCAACTGTAGAAGGAGAGTTTTATGGCTTGGTTGATATCCTGGTAACTCTTTAAAAATATTTTGTAGTATCGGTGTGAGAAATTGTCCAGTGTGTGTGTGTGTGTGTGTGTGTAGTGTGTAGGTGAACTCCGATGTGCTTCTATAGAGACCACAGTAGGACTACGAACAACCTGCTTTCTCCCTATTTTTCCCTTCAGACAGGTTTCTCATTGAAGCTGTGACAAGGTGGGTGAGCAGCTATCCTCAAGAATCCTCTGTGGAGAGCTTTTGGGGCTGCTTGGCAGGAATCTGACATTGGCCAGGGACAAGAAAATGGGCTGTAGGCAGGAATCTGACTTTGGACCATGACAAGGAAGTAAGTTCTAACCTAAGAATCTAACTTTAGGCTAAAACAGAGAAATAAGTTCAGGCAGGAATCTAATTTTAGGCTAAAACAGAGAAGTAGTTTCAGTCAAGAATCCAAGTCTTAGGCTAGAATAAAGAAGTAGGCCTCAGGCATGAATATCACTGTGGGCTAGGACGGGGAAGTAGGCTCAGATATTTTTGTCATGCTGATGAGCCCTTAGAAACAGAGATCATGAGAGTGATCACGGGTGATCCCGGGAGTCTGTATTGTATATTGCCTTGTTTGTTCCTTGACTGTTTGTTTCTATTGTATTGTTGGTTCCCCAACCTAGGACTGACCTAAATCCTTGCATGTAATTAAAAAGGTTTAAAAGAAAAGTTGGAATAAACAAACCTGCCTTCAGCCTCAGAACTGCCTGGGGTCATTCTGCAATTCTATCTAATCTCTCTTTTAATCCTCGCTCCTGAGCTGGAGAACCTGTGGACTGACTGAGTGGGCTTGGCCAATCCTCCCATCTCTAGTGCCTTGGATGCTTGGAATTTTAAATTAAGTACTTATGCTTAGACACTAAACACTCTTACCAGCTGAGCCATCAAGTCATTCTGAGAAAAGTGAAGTCTTGATGTAAATAGTATCTCAATTAAATTGAGCATACAAAACTCCATAGAAATAATATAAATCATGCATTTACATTTATATGTAAGTTTAGAAAGTTTAAACATAGTGAGGTTAATGGCTTTTAAATAATAAGTCTGAAAGACAAAAAAGGTTTAAAATGAAATGAAACAAAATGAAAAATTTTAGAATAATGGATTACAAGTTTATTATGTTGATTTTGGTGACGGAGTGGTGGAAGCAAAACTATATTTAAATATGTTATAAAAATCAGTTTGAATATATATATATATATACACATATATAATGAATATATAGTATATATAATGTAAATATATGTATATATAAATTCATCTTCCAATTATATACTCAATCAGTGTTAAGATTCTAATTGGTCAAATCTAGAAAAATAAGCAATCATCTTTGTCACAGAAGTCAATAAATGTATCTGATGTGTTTTACTGGGACTTAACGACCAATCAAAAAGTATTTTTATCAAACAATGTTGAATGGTAATTTCCAGGTTATACAAAATTATTCTATGATGTTATAATCAATCAAAGAAAACACTAAGAATTTACCAAATAATTCCACATTTTTGAATCTTTCTTGAGATTTACCACTACATTCTGGTAGATAGTAATTTCTCATTAAAAACAAAGAACTACAGTCTTTCTGGACACAGATTCTCTTGAGGATGCATTTTACACTATACACCACCTATATAGATATCCAGAACTCTGATTGCCTCTGAACTACCAGAACCATTTCTTCAATATGTCATAGGAGTAAAACCTGTACTGGGGAGATAGGAATGAGAATTTTCAAATTTAAAATAATTCTAAACACCCAAAATAAGACAGAAAATGTTTAATAGGTAGCTGAAAATGATATGCATATGCAGTAACGTTTTAAAAGATAATCTGAATACATTACCGATTTAGTCAGGAATTTAAAATACACTTTAAATTGAAAAGAATCATGCTGCATTTTTGTCATATGTAGTGAAGTATATCAGAGTTGGCAAAAAAGAATGGTTTGAATGTCTAAAATATTTGGTCCTAGAATAGCAGATGAAATAAAATAGTGACAAAGGTTGATTATCATATAAATTGTTTCACAAATATTCATAGCTAATTATTTTGACGTTCATTTGTATTTAAGATATACTTATTTTAAAATAAGCTATAGAGTAATTATAATTACATTGTTATATCAATATAAAAGAAAAGCAGTAAATATTTTAATATGTTTTTTAATTAAAATAAATAACAATTAATTGCTTTTCAATGATTATTAAATTTAAAATGTAGACAAACATTTTGGTTACTAATTTTACCACACAGTTTAATTTTAGACTTTTTTACATAAAGTATAGACATATTTTGCTAAGCCTTTCCTAAGAATCTCCTCGAACTAGCCCACTCACTAATCATGAAGTATAAATTGCATGAATAGTATAACATATGAAAAGAGAAATTCAAAGGTAAAAGACAGCACACTGTGACTCTGTTGACATGAGACAGTTCAGTATAATAACTGTTATAGGAGAAGAAAATTGACCCACACACTTTTTCAGAGTAAATGACTACAAAGGAGAAGCATTACCGTTAAAGAGAAATGTTTAAAATAACTGTCTCTTCCTTTCTCTAAAACAATCTAACATAGACATGGCTAGCCTTCGTGATTCATGCCTGTAATTCTAGAACTATTGGAGCAGAAGGAGGATTTGGAGCTTTATGGCAGCTTGAGCCACACGATAAACCCTGACCAATTAATCAATCAATTATTAACAAACCCAGGAGATAGTTCAGCGGATCTTGAATCTCCTCCCAAGTCTGAACACCTGATTCTATCCCAGGAATCACAGAGTAGAAAGAAACAACCACCTCTCCTAAGATATCTTCTCAGTTCCACTAGTGCACTGTGACACATTGTGCACATGTGCAAGCATGCACATGTACATGTGCACACACACTTACACACACATCTGAATGTGAAACAATTTT